GAGTAGTGGTACGCAACTGTGTAGCTGGCTGGCTGCGAGAGATTATGCGGTGGAGTACTTTTATAATAAGGAGATGTTTGAAGGGGGGGGGGTTTAGGTGTTGTGATGAAGTGATGAGCTAGTGTTTACTTTTCTTAAAAAGAATGCGTTTTATATGGTAAGCCTGCCTCGGGCCACTTATTGTTTGGGCAGTTGATTAGTGCGCAATAACGGATATGAAGCAGGGGGGAGGGGGGGGGCTCAAATAAATGAGGCTAATACCCGTAATATATAATTGATAAAAGTATGTAGTTCCTATGCCGTATCTTTGAGCAGCATACCCTGTGTTTGAGCCAGGAAATGAGGTAAAGCTCATGGACACACCGTAGTAGTAGTAGAGGAGAGATCACTCGATCCGTACATCATAATTATCCGGTAATAAATGAATCTGCGAGATTTACACCGCATTTTCTTGCACTGAATATTCATTATATCCCCCCCACCCACCACTTTTTTTACCCCCTTGACACAGATCAGGATCGTACATTAAATAATCATATGCGTCTCTCTTAATGTCTCCCCATGTAAATTTTGTTCCTATGGTAGTTAATTCATACTGCTTGATATTGAAACAGGGTGCTATACCGAGAATTGGACATTAATTGGGATCAAAGAGGGGAGGAGGTGAATTGGACATTAATTGTCGAACAGCACTGACGACAGAGATGCAAACATGGAGATACGCGGGTAGTTGACAAATGGCCGCAATAAACCTAACCATAGTCTCGGGTCAGAATTAATAATGACGCGAATGGGAGGTGATCAGTTAGGGGTCTGCACGCGTGTAGGCGGTCTTCAATATTGCAGGAAGTTAAGATTAATATGTCACAGCAATTATTTTTATAGGCTAAACATCATAAGAGACCCGGCCCCCTAAACTTTGCATGATTACCAGGAAACACCCATTTATTTAGCTCTCAAAATATTAGAAAACCACCCTTAAGTTTAGGAGTTATCAGGAAACCCTCTTTTAACTCGAGTTAATTAAAAGGGGTTCTTTTGATAGAATATGAAAGTCAAAGGGTGTATCTTTTAACTTGAGTTTTCAGATATTTTGGAAGTTAGGGGGAGGAGAGTTTCCTTAAATACTCCACTTAAATAGAGCTCATATAGGAGCGTCACAGCAACATATATAACACACAGATTTTCTTTATAGCTTTTTGATCAGCTGCATGTATAAACTTTTTCCTTCCATCTATGTCTGAATGCTTATTCGGGTGGCTCTCCCCAGAATTAAAAAAAAAGCCAAGTATGAACTTTTTACATTTCTTGACTTACTGTTGATATTTTGGTACCAGCTAGTTTGGTTTGATTTTCTCAATTTTGAACCTACTCTTTGTCCATATGCATTCATATTGACTAATTTGCACAGCTAATCTAAAGTAGGTAGCTTCAGTCCCAAGTCCTAATGCTAGACTTGCAAAATTAGTCTGCATAATGACCCACATGAGAATATGATTATACGCAATACAATCAAGCACGACAAAGATAAAAGAACTTCAATGCTCATTAAAATGCAGAGAAATGATGCTTGAAGATGTCACGATAAATGATGATGCTCGAGGGAATGCTACCCGTTCATCACTGTTACAGGGGGGATGATAATGATGGTGTTTGTGATATGTGACCGCCATAATAGTGGTTCATGTCCAAAATGTATGATGTTTATCTGTGCATTTCTTGAATATTATATATGTGGGGAATTATATATGGGAAAACGCCCCAGGGATCCCAAATGAGGGGACCATATAGGGGACAGGTGAGGTGACAAGCCCTCACTGGATGATACACTGTTCATGAACAGTGCAGCATCCAGTGAGGGCTTGTCACCTCACTTGTCCTCTACATGGTCCCCTCGTTTGGGGTTCTTGTAGCAACATGAACAGTGCAGCATCCAGTGAGGGCTTACCACCTCACCTATCCCCTACATGGTCCCTACATGGTCTCCTCATTTGGGGTCCTTGTAGCAACACTCTTATATATGTATGTGTGTGTATACATACAAAGGAAAAATATTATTTTGAATATATCTATTCTCAACATACTAAGTCTAAAAATTATCAGGATAAATATTGTTAGATCATTTCTCCACAGCGCGAGGCGCTCGGTTCCTATTAATTGACAGGTGACAACTCGTATTAAAAGGCCCGTTTCAACTCGGTGAGGCCGCTTAGTATTAATGCGGTGGGCCTTGGGCCATGGGTTAAAGTATTGGAAGGAGATGAAGTTTTCAGCTTCAAATATTGACATAAGCAACTCGTAAGAAGAGTAAAGCTAAATTAATTATAGGGAGAAAAAAATTAGAACGAGCATGTTCATATTCCTATATTCTAGCAAATAACATGTTTACAAAAATTATGAATCAGCATGCATATTTAATAATAAACTAGAAATAATCATATTTAACAAAATGAATGTGCTAACAGTTTAATATTTGGGTAAATCGAACATGGCCCGCTAAACATAACCCAATAGACCTCCCTCGGCTCATTTAGCAGCACTTCGTCCCGCTCAATTAATGACAAGCAGGGGGGTTACTTGCAATTTATCTTTCTAATTAACATGATATTTTCTAAGATGCTAAGTGTTAATAAATGAGTTGAGGGGTTTTATTAAATGTGCCGAGTGTTAATAAATCATGTTTCAGTAAAAATCATCTAAAATACGTTTCGAGTGCTAAACTTATTTTCTATAGAGTAGGATTATAAAATAATATTAGGGGCACACCTCCTAACACACCACCAACCACACCCCCTCTCCCATTGTTATAGTAAACCGGGCCCAACATGAGATTTTAAAATTTTTAAAATCTCATGTGAGGTCCGGTTTACTGTATCGATGGGAGAGGGTGTGTGTGGTTGATGGTGTGGTAGGGGGTGTGCCCCTAACACCACTCTTTATTATATGAAGCTTCTCCCCCACATTACGGAGTGATGAGCGTCGTTGGTGGGCCCGGGAAGAAATAAATGTGCCGGCCACCGACACCAGAAATCAGACCCACGACTCCGGTGGGCCCACCTTGCACCGCATCATGCTTTCATGCGTCGAAGAGATGCTGACGACTTACTTAATTCTATGTTCTTCTTTTTTAAAAAAAATTCCTCAATTTGCATGTCTCATTCTTTCACGCGCTAAAGCAATTATAAGATTAGATTAATCACAGCTTGCTGAATTGCCGTCAGGACTTTAATAGGTGGCTTATGATGATTGATTAGTGGTGGCAGGTAGGATGTTACCATCTCATCCTTTAATTAATTCCTCACCTTCGTCGTTACTTTTTGATCAATAGAAATAAGCAACTATTTGACTTATGTATCTCATATCTTATTACATTTCGATGAGGTTTTCAAGCTAAGATGTGAAAAAAAAAAAAGAAATCATCATCATCTGTACATATAAGCGCTAGCTTCAGGGTACTAACTATTAACAGAAAACAGAACATAATTAAGTTTGTTTTGAGATTTGGAGTTCATTCCTTAAATCGAAGTTCATTCCTTAAATCGAAGCACCATTGGCAGCAATCAAAATCCTTCACATTTTGTTCTCTTCATGCTCTGTAGTTTGCCTTTCTCCATCCAAGCAAACGAGACAGACCTAATTTCTGAGCCTTCTATACGTTTGTTTGGCGAAAAAGCAAAAGTTTGGCCAAAATACAACATATTTGTTTGGCAAGAAGCAACATGCGCGTTTCTTACCTCAGTACATTCTCTTTGGATTTTTAAAAGTACTTTCTGTGAAAACGGCGAAGGAATTAAGAAAAAACGTGAAGAATAAGCAAAACAGGCTCCACCACACCCTGGTGTGGTGTCTGCCATGGGTGTGGCAGAATCTGACATGTTTGTCATGAGCGTGGTGTCTGCCACACCCTGGTGTAGCAGAATCTGCCATGTCTGTCATGGGTGTGGTGTGTGCCACACCAGGGTGTGGCAGACTCGTTTTTAGAATCCTAATCTGTTTGAAATTGTGTTTTGCTATAAATAGAGACACGTTTTTTAGGGTTTCTTGGGCTTTGATTGGAGATTGGTTTGGGGATATTGGAGCACAGAAAAATGAGAGTTTTCTGAGCTATTGTTTGAGGTTATTTTGGTTGTTTTGGCCTTTATCTCGACGTTTGGTTTGATTTGGTTCTCGAAGCACGCCCGTTTGTTTGTCCCGCTTCCACCGCGCACAACAATTGGTATTAGAGCTCTGGATTTCAGATCTAGGGTTTTGTCTTGGTTGGAGGAGTAGATCGATTTGGGAAGCTCGTCTAGGATTTCAGTTGGTGAGAAATGTGGGATCTTTTTGGTAAAGTTTCTTTCTTTTCTCAGTTTTTGGATCTATTCTTCGTTTGTTTTCCGCATTGGTTTGTTGGCGCTTGGGCTATTTGGAGGAGTAGATTGCTTTGGAGGCTCTTCGAAGCTTCGTTTGGAGATAAAGGGTTGGATTTTTCCTATTTGTGGATCGTGAGATCGTTTGGAGACTCTTGTTAGGTTTCAATTGGAGGTAAAAATCTCTCCTTTATCAGTTTGGATCTATTCTTCGTTTGTTGGTGCTTTGAGATAGTTGGTCGAGATAGAATGATTTGAGGCTGGGATATTTGATTGTTGATACGGTGCATTGAATGATTGAGAAGTGCCCTTAACCTGCATATTGAAGTCCTTTGAGCACGTTGGTATGAGCAAGGAGACCTATGTGGAGTTTGACACTTCTATTCGATGATTGAGGGGTCTTTTTTTGGTGTTCATTCAGACATTTGGGGGCCTTCCAAGGAGGCATCATTGGAAGGTAATTGATATTTTGGTTTTCTTTGTTGGGGATTGTACTAGGCATTTGTGGGTTGCAACCAAGTCCCATTGGTTTTAAAGTCCTAGTAGTCAACAACAGTTGAAGAAGTGTATTAGCAGTAAGGTGAAGGCACTTCATTCTGGTTTTAGAGGGAGGTACAAGAGGGACCTACTGTATTTGTGACGAGTTAATGGAAATTTGAGACACTTCATTAGAGAGAAAACGTTGGGGCGATGGGATGAGATGATATTTTTGATTGGTCGTTTCTTTCTGGAGGAGGATCGACATTTGATGTCGAGCATTGGTTTTGAAGTTCGGGCTTTGACATATTTGGGTCATCTTATGTATAGGTCGCCCACTGCTGCATTAGGAGTTATTGGATCTGGTGGAGTTGCTTCAGATTTTGGTTGACATCGGATATTTGGTTATCCAGCATTTGGTCACATCAAGGATGTAAGATTTGATCCGATTGCACGTTTGGAATTCGGAGGCTCGTTTGATTATCGTTTGGGAGCTTCTGATTTTGTTCTGAGCAGGTATGTCACATTGGACTCTCGGTAGGTAGAGAGTGTTGATCAGATTAGTTGGATATCGCAGCGGGTGGAGGGTGATGCTACTCCATATTGGGTGGAGTTTACTCCACATACTCCAGGTCATTCTGTATTATTTGGGACTTCAGCTGAGGTGACACAGCATGAAGATCATTTGGTTTTGGATGCAGATGACGTGTTGATTGATTTGAGTGCAGCTGATAGGCGCAGTTTGGACATGGCCATTGGTTCACCTCAAATGGAGGTGTTTGATTTGTATCAGTTTGGGGCCGCTATCAGTTGCAGATTCGTTGGTGATATTGGGGAAGAGTTGGAGACTTTTCTATTTGATTGAGGGCCTTTGGAGGCCATTTGCGTGAACTACGTGAATGCTTGATTCCTTGGGCAAGAGGATACGTAGGCAGTCAGTTTTGATGCAGCCGATTAATGCTTGATTCCTTGGGCAAGAGGATACGTAGGCAGTCAGTTTTGATGCAGCCGATTTGGTGAGTAGACATCGACGTTTGGAGAGTGTTCGCATTCTCATTTGGGTCTCGACTTGTTGTGGATTGAGTCCGTTATCGTGAAGGGTTTCCACGACATCCTGGACGTAACAAGTGGGACATTTGGTTTGGTTGGTATCGGATCAGTTTTGGAAAAACTTCGCCGAGGTAGAGAATTATGAAAACGACGAAGGAATTAAGAAAAACGTGAAGAATAAGCAAAACAGGCTCCACCACACTCTGGTGTGGTGTCTGCTATGGGTGTGACAGAATCTGCTATGTCTGCCATGGGTGTGGTGTCTGCCACACCCTGGTGTGGCAGAATCTGCCCTGTCTGTCATGGGTGTGGTATGTGCCACACCAGGGTGTGGCAGACTCGTTTTTAGAATCCTAATCTGTTTGGGATTGTGTTTTGCTATAAAATAGAGACACGTTTTTTAGGGTTTCTTGGGCTTTGGTTGGAGATTGGTTTGGGGATATTGGAGCACAGAAAAAAGGAGAGTTTTCTGAGCTATTGTTTGAGAGTTTATTTGGAGAGATTAAGAACTTTGTTGGTGATATTAGTTGATTGTATCGAGCGTATTGTAATCTCAGTTTGTACTGGAGAGATTAAGAACTTTGTTGGTGATATTAGTTGATTGTATCGAGCGTATTGTAATCTCAGTTTGTACTCTTCTTCTCTATTAGTGAAAACCCCATCCCCTTCTTGCCCCGTGGACGTAGGCAATTGCCGAACCACGTTAAACTATTGTGTTTGGATTTGTGCCGTTATTTTGGTTGTTTTGGCCTTTATCTCGACGTTTGGTTTGATTTGGTTCTCGAAGCACGCCCGTTTGTTTGTCCCGCTTCCGCCACGCACAACACTTTCCCAATATTTTTAAATTTGTAGCCTCTATAGATTCCGAGTAATTGAAATAAAATACTGACTAATAACAATACACAGATCTGATCTTCTCCGCGCGAGATGTCACACGTACTAGTCAATTCATATCGTTTTATGTTCACATTGTTCATCAGCAATTCATATCGTGGCACGTGCACCTTCTTAGAATATTGATGCCAACCATACTTTGGTCGTAAGTTAAATTTATACTACACTACGAAAACGGCCATTATTGTTTACATAAATGCAACAAATACCGAACATTTCTATAGACATAATACATTCTATTATTCACATCTTACTTATTTGATTAAATTCCTATTGGGTATTCCATGAGGGTTGGCTTTAGATTGCTACTCACGGGCAGCTTATGGATTCAGCTAAGTATTTATTTTTATTAAAATTTAAATTGTCATACTGATACAGACTACAGTACATGCACGTTACAACATTGTACTACTAGATTAGATGCGCGTGAGTAACAACTAGTCGGTAAAGATCTGCACATATTCAACAATACACTAGGAATCAAGATTTGCTTTCATTCAGCAGCTGCTGCTGTTATTAATTAATTAATCCCACATCATCATCATGATTAGGTGCTAACCCACAGTGACTGCGGGACTCGTAACGCAATTTGATGGTGATATAAATAAAAGCCTAACAAGAACGCCCTCCTCCCTCCGCACAATTATTTCTTACTCCCCCGAAGATCTCAGATCTGACCTGCTCTGCTCCGAAGGAGGAAGAGACGATGGAGGCGTTCTACTACTTGGTTTTTGGCGGGCTCTCGGTGGTGGTGGCGGTGCTGGAGCTGAGCAAAAACAGCAGGGACCAGATCTCAACCTCCCCGGCCTTCAACTCCTTCAAGAACAACTACCTCGTCGTCTACTCCCTCATGATGGGTGGGTGCAATTACTTCTTTACCCTTCCTCCTGTTCGTCTTTTTGCTGCTATCCTCTGACCTAGGGTCGGATCTACTGATGCCGAGCATCTTCGCCGGATCTAGATCTGGCTTTTAGAGTTGCGAAGCTTCTAGGTTTTTCTTGATTGGATGCTTCTGGCGTTGTGGATCTGGGTGATGTTATAGATCTTTAATTTTTCTGCTTTGTTTCTTTCGTCGGAGCTCCATTTTCATAAGCCACACGCAAAGAAATTAGGAGATGTTTGTGCTAGAACAGTTTCTTTTTTTGCTCGGATGTGAACGAAACTAGACCTTTTTGGAGAATTTCCAGGAAAAAAAACCAGAGAAATTAGGTTGCGGATTCCCGTAATTTCTTGAGCGTACCAATCTGATGATTCTGGAATCTAATGATACTGAAGAAGAAGGAAAAAAAAGACAATTAATATTTAGATGTATTTGCCTACTGTGTCCGTTTAGGAAGGGAAAAAAAAAAACATCTCTCATAACTGTGATTCTTTTCTCTTGGTTCAGCTGGAGACTGGTTACAGGGCCCTTATGTCTACTACCTCTACAGTCAGTATGGCTTTAACAAGGGTGATATCGGTCGTCTCTTCATTGCCGGTTTCGGATCCTCCATGGTCTTTGGAACAATCGTGGGATCTCTCGCTGACAAAAGGTAGGTCTTTCATAACGTTTCGATGTATATTTAGTTGTTTAATTTAGCAAAGTCTGAAACTTTACTCGTGGTGGGTGTTCTATTTTGAACCCCAATGTAGGGGTCGGAAGAGGGCTTGCGTTACCTACTGCATAACCTACATCTTGAGTTGTATTACCAAACATTCCCCACAATATAAGGTGTTGATGTTAGGTCGTATATTGGGAGGCATTGCTACTTCTCTCTTGTTTTCTGCTTTTGAGTCATGGCTTGTTGCTGAGCACAACAAGGTGAAACAATCTACTGCTTCTATTATCGTTTCTTTCTTTTCTGTAGTTTCTTTTGAGCTATATGAAATAATTCTTAAGGGTTCCTTTATGTGGTGAATATTGTGAATTGCTACAATTTATCTATTTGAAACAACAGTCCATCTCGCAAGCACCTATTTGTGACCAATCCTTTCTGTTGTTTTATGAATGTTCTGCAAGAATTTTGTGTACTTTTTTCCACCCCCACCCCCCTAGCATTAACCCATTTGAATACTGTAAACATATTGTAGATTTGCAGAAGAAATCTAGAATAACTAGGTATATGGAATGAACATACTTTCTTTATGGTTCATACGGACATAGTTTGGTGATCCACATGATGTGCTGATAAGGGTGCAATATCAAACTTCTGACCACATATTGGAATATCAGATGTAGAGCTTCACAATGTTTTTACTGAATAACTAATTTGAAACATATATAACTGCTTCATATATCTGGAGTTCATTTTCATATTCTTAATTCCGACTGACTCGCACATTACTGTTTCAGAGAGGTTTTGAACCGCAATGGCTGTCCTTGACTTTCTCGAAGGCTATATTTCTTGGTAATGGTCTTATTGCCATTGTCTCTGGGTTGTTTGCAAACATGTTGGCTGATAACTTAGGTTTTGGCCCTGTGGCTCCTTTCGATGCTGCTGCATGCTTCCTTGCAATCGGCATGGCTATAATCCTATCATCATGGGGTGAAAACTATGGAGATACTTCTGATAACAAGGATTTACTTGCTCAGTTTAAAGTTGCTGCTTTAGCTATTGCTTCTGGTTAGTGTGAAGTTTTCTTAGTATAACAGGAAATAAGTGTTTCATAATTTCTTGTTATCTTTCCATTAACATTTGATCATTTTGTGTTGTTCAGACGAGAAGATTGCTTTACTGGGTGCAATACAATCACTTTTTGAAGGTTCCATGTATACCTTTGTATTCTTGTGGACTCCAGCTTTAAGTCCAAATGAGGAGGACATCCCTCATGGTTTTATATTTGCAACTTTCATGTTATCTTCAATGTTGGGTAGTTCTGTAGCATCTCGGCTAGTGACCCGTCCAAATCTTAAAGTTGAAAGCTATATGCAGATTGTTTTTGCAATCTCTGCTTTCACACTACTGCTACCGGTCCTTACGACTGTAAGTACCTTAGTTCTTTTTCTACTCATAAGTTACTTTCTGCATCTGATTATTGATTAATCAATGGCTTGGCTAATATGTGAAACAGTTCTTGGTGACACCTACTTCAGTTAAAGGGGGCAGCATCTCATTTGCGGGTTCTATCCAACTGCTCGGCTTCTGCACCTTTGAAGCATGTGTGGGGATATTTTGGCCATCTATCATGAAAATGAGATCACAATATGTTCCTGAAGAGGCTAGGAGCACAATCATGAATTTCTTCCGCATTCCTCTAAACATGTTCGTGTGTGTTGTGCTTTACAATGTAAGAACTATAAGTTTTTCAGTCTCTTTTCCTTACCAGTTTCACTTGACATACACGTACACATACACACACATACACATACAAACACACAAATATAACTTTGCTTCTCCTGGAGGAAAAAGATTTGACTCCTCAAATTTTGTATCTCACTAGTACCCACATTTTGTAGTAAAAAGGTGTGGTACAGTATGTTCCTATTTGCTTCTGGCCATGTCGTTAGATATGATGGTCAGAAAAATTCAACAAGGAATATCCTTCACTCAGGGGGAGTATAAATTAAGCCATGCATGCCCTTCTTGTTATAATATTAATTTAAGCATCCGTAAAAAATGATATCCATTAGGTAAGTAGATTTTAGATGTAAACATCAAAGCAAAAATGTGTATATATATTGTTCATAACCATATCTATACTTAATTTCTGTATTAATAAATATCAGACGTTACTCACACTAGAGCAATGTCTTTTGACATGATGGTTGGAACCTATTTATTAAAAATTAATTAGCTTAAATTGAAGTATGAGCTCAAATTGCTTCATGATATATCACTTTGCGATAGTTAGATAAATGCCTTTGTTTGGTGATGATTGGATCTGATTTTTCTCACGAATTATAATTTTTGAGTTTGATACCTTGTCAGATCCCTATACTTCAATTATCGCACATTGTAAAGGAATGCTTAGAGGTAGGGTGCTAAACTGTATCCGTATTCGAGGAAATATCTGTAACTGTATCAGTTAGATACGAATACGGTTACTCAAATCTATAACCGATAGGATATAGTTACGGATATGGTTTTATAGTGAAATATCTGTATTCGTATCCAAAATATCCGAATACATATTAGTCATACTCTTATGACAGTTTCGATTCTTAGATTATGAATTTGTAGTTAATTTTGACGATCAAGATGTCTAATCTTAACTTTTCAGTTATATTGAACATATTAACGAATTACATGAACTATGTTTTTCTCAATACTATCTAGTTTTCTCATATCCGTTTTGTATCCGCATGCAAATCCGCTAATATATCCGCATGTATATCCGTAACCTTATCCAATTTTAACGGATATGAATATGAATTTTCCTTACCGATATATATCCGTATCCGTACCCAAGATGGGTAAGCGGATACGGATATGATAAGCATCATATCTGAGCCGTATCCGGACCGAATGCACCCCTACTTAGAGGCATACATTTCATGTTCATTTTAATTACACACAAAAAATTGAACTATTTAGTTGGTAAACTTTTAGTCTAGCTGGTACCAATAAGAACTATTTAGGAGGTGAAGGGTAGCATATTTCATCTTTTGATTAGATTAAATCTGAAATTGAGGATGCGTCCATCAAAAGTTGTCTTAACCGCCGTTTGAATGTTATTTTGCAGGTGAATGCATTCCCTATCACTATCATGTTTGGGATGTGCTCTATTTTCCTCTTCATGGCTTCAATTTTGCAAAGACGTTTGATGGTTGTGGCTGAGGTTCACAAATCAAGTAAGTTGGACAAAAGTTTAGCATATACCTGGCAAGAGTTTTGCTTTCGACTCAAATACTTCCAGTTTGATACATTGGTTGCTTAAACAAAGTTGTTCTCCAACTCCTTTTGCAATTAATGCGTACATCACTCAAACTTCAGGTGCTACTTTATATTCCCTTTCTGCGGTATTTGACCAATTTAAGGCATGTTCCATTGCTTGGAACAATACTTTTCTAACATGGAAGTGGGTAATCAAGTGAATTGCACTTTTTTTGGTGCAATTCCTTCACAAACCGAATAATTGTATTTACTTGCATACAAATCATGAAAACTTTTTGTCCTCTGACAGCCATGTTGAAATTGTCTGAGATAACTTCTAATCTGCCTTCCATGTAGTTCTGTCTAAAATATACCTAAAGCCAGGTAGATTTTCCTGTTTCCAAACTTTTTATTCATTTTTCAAACCCAAATCAAGTGATTTGATCTCTGACGTAGTTCATTATTCCACAACAGGACAGAAAAAAGTAGGTAAGGTTGTTATTCAAACAATGCGCTCCTCGACAACCAAACCGAAACTTTTTCTTCTTCCCTTTTTTTTCGGTCATTATCTTCCCTTAGGGAAACAAATGAGGATCTGTTGGAAAAGTTTCTCTTTGAAAACCATCACATTGAAGGTAAGGCCAGTTTTAGATGATAATAATAGCTTCAAGGAATCAACAAGCGTGCTATTATTATTTCTAAATATATGGCATGGAGTTTGATATGATCTGCATTTTCCCTTAATCTCTTCGCTGTCCTTAATTCCTGGAAAATGTTTTCCAGTTACATGTTCTCTGTAAGTTACTATCCTATATTATCTCGATAAATCTGATCCTATACATCTCCAGTGTTTTCATTTCCAGTTCAGCACATGGATTTATGTTTTCTGATGTCTATTCTATGATCCTCATGTTTTGATACTTCGCTGCAGAGTCTCAAGATTGGACATCAACGAAGGAGAGAGATCCTGAAAGAGAACCACTGAGTATGTAATAAGCATGAAGACGGGCTTGTGGAGATCAGAATAGTACACTTTCAGTTGCCTCATGTTACCATAAGATAAAGCAAGAATTTCATGCATGATTACTATGAAGTAAACTTTATGGAGGAGGATGAATTGGAAAGAGTCATGAGCTTCAGGAACATCCTCAAGTGAAAACCTGCTATCTGCTCCACATGAGAGGCTCTCGTTGTTCCTTTTTTTTTACCCCCCGAGTTGAAGTAATTTATCAAGAGGTAGCTCGTACGAAAGTACACAAGCTTATCTTAGGCTTATCTTTTTATCCGAGACTAGTAGGTTGCCTATTGGATCAATTGGCACCTTATATTTTTGCTGCTCCATTTCTACCTCACCTAATTAATAATTAATTAAATCTAAGAGTTTGAATGTGCCTTTTGGATTTATACTCTGTAGGTATACAGACTACTAGTTTCTAAGGTTATTCATGTGTAATAATTATGTCACCTTTTCTTTTCGACTGTATGATTTATGTCATCAATCTTTGTTATTTGACTGTATCTCATAAATGCTCTGTGATTGTTGTATACTTGTATCCTGTTGAATTGGCTATCTGATGATTTTGTTCGCTATTGTCATTTATTTGACAATCTTGGTATGTATGTTCATGGCTGTCCTCGAGATTTGGGTATCTGATGAAGTTTCTGAATTGTATTTTGATTTGCACATATTCTATTATGTTAAGTAGGTTGGTCGGTATACAGATGATCCTGATGTCGCACAACAATCTTCGTTAGAAGAGTTCCTTTGTTTCTCCCTACCTTTTAAATGATGCACGAATTTATTTCCTGAAGTACTCGGTTAGTTGATGATGGTTCGTGAATTATTCCCTTGTCGTCCTAGTTCTCGTGACGACTCTCACGTATGGTTTGTTTATATAACATACCCTCACTATGAGCATTACAAAAGTTCATTACCTTTTTTCACTTCAAGAATATTTTTACTGCATAAACGACCGGTAATATATGAAGCCAACGTGCTGATAGATCCAGAAAAGACCGATGAAATATTTCAGCCAATCAATAATCGGATGCGGGGCCCAACCCCAATCATCGAGCTTCAGCGGCCACCGAAACTCTCCTCACCTCATCAGCCCCCTTCTTCCCTCCCAATTTCCCTGCTCTCAAACAATGGAAGCCTTGTCAACAGCTCACCCGGTCTCCTCTCTGCCTCCCCAAAAATCCCCTTCACCTCCACACAACAACCCGCCACCTCCCCATCTCAAACCCCCTCCTCTCATCAAACACCCCGAATTCCTATATCCACAACAGCCCTCTGCCAGCCAAGCTTCAAGCCCCTCTCCACCCCTCACCCTCCCTCCCTTCTCCCCCCCCTTCCCCCCTCAAAACAGCCATCCCTCCAAACCCAGCCGAAGAGCGGTCAACCGGTTACTAGAGACGGCCGCCGCCTCTCGACGTCGCGGTTGTGTGACGGGAGCTATCCGTCGGGGTCGCGAAGGAATGCGAGAGGGTGAGAGGATCAGTGAGCGGTGCTGGAGCGATGAGGAGTGGAGGAGGGTGAGCAAGGGGGAGGTGTGAGAGGCGAGTGGGGCGGAGGCGTTTTTACGGGCGAGGTGTGCGTCGTGTTGGTGGAGGAATGTTGGCGGGGAAGGGGAAGGTGTGGGTGGTGGGGAGGTGATGGAGGAGTCGGGAGGCTGTGAGGGGGAAAGGCTGTGTGGGGTAAGAGGGTGTTCTGGTAAGGAGAAGGGTAGGAGGAGGAGGATGGGAGCAGCAGCTTGGCGCGTGAGGGTAGCCTTTTCAGATAGTTGTGCGTGCATTTTCGATTGTACTCTGATTTGAATGCTTGCTTTAATGTATCGTACATAACGAAAATACGCTTTGCGAGCCGTGAGCCTGATTGGCTTCTGGCTTCGTAACTAATAATGGTATTGGATATGGTTTGAATTTATTAATTTATGCTTGTTCCTTCCCTTTTTATGTTTTTCATCTGCTTAGCTTATCACTGTGAGAGATACTGCTTAACGTTACAGGTCTTGATTCAGCTTCTTGCATGAAAGAGACAACCAAGCATTTGAATGAATGAATTAGAGCACCCAAATTAATTATTGTCTCTCATGTATTATTTATACAGTATATGAAACTCGCCGACACCTGTGCCTTTATTTCCTATAAAAAAAAACATAGCCGCCTTGTTTGTTGTATGCACCGTGCACGACATGGCCACATCTCAGTTTCACCAAATGCTTTAGAAAAAAAAAAAGGGTGAGCAAGCCATCCTGCTATTGCATGAGCTTCTGATTTCAGCCAGGCCCCTATGAAGTAAAAATAATGCGGCAATTAAAATTCAATGGCCAGAGTCAATTATATGCTCAACACCTCATCAAGGACCTCTCTCCATTTCCCGGTATCGACAACCACCTTCTTCACAAACACACCCCAGCCCTCTTCTGCATCGACACACCCCCCGTTCCTCAACACCAGATCCCTTAAAACCCTAACAGCCTCCTCTAGCTCTCCGCATCCGAAGAGCCCATCAACCAAAACGCCGTATGTCGACTTACTAGGCACGCATCCTTTCTCCACCATCTCCTCCAAAACCCGAACCCCTTCCTTCGCCTTCCCCGCCTTACAAAACCCCTTGATCAGCACGTTATACGTGAACACATTCGGGTAACACTTTTTCTCCACCATATCATCCCACAACCTCGCCGCTTCTTGCAATTCTCCGTTCTCACACATACCCGATATAAGGGTGTTATACATCAGCGCGCTAGGGATGAACCCTCGCTCAAACTCATCGAATAATTTCCTCGCGTCCCAGACTTTCCCAGCTTGACACAGCCAATATATCAATGTGCTCGATATTGAGTTATCGGGCGTCACACTCTTCTTCAGAAGCTTCCTCCATATCTCACAGGCGTCCACCACCTTCCCATCTTCACACAACGCATCGATCACCTTGCAACACAAGGAGGAGCTCGGCACGTGTTTCGAACTGAGCATGTCTTGAATCAAATTCAGTGCTTCCCCCGGCCTCTTCCCTTCACAGCAAGCTCGGATGATGACGGTGTACGTCGCCTCATTCGGAGGAACCCCATTCTCCTCCATCTCATCCATGACCTTAACCGCATCGTCGAGCTTCCCGATCCCGCAATACCCATCGATCAAAACCGTATAAGCCCTGACGTCGGGCTCCAGCCCCCTGCCCCTCGCCTCGTCAAACACCCTCCTCGCCTCCTCCACCTCCCCCTTCGCCTCGCCCACCTCCCCCTTCTCGCAATAAAACGACATGATCGTGGTGTGCGTGACCACGTTGGGCGCCATCCCCCACTCAGGCATTTCATCAACCACCTTCCTGGCCTCCTCAATCCTCCCCACTTCGCAGACCGCCTTGATCAGGATGTTACAAGTGAACACGTTGGGCGCGATCCCAAACTTCCTGTGACAATTCCTGAACAGGACGGGCACGAGATCGTATCTCTTGTTCTGGATCATGGCGTTGAGCAGGGCGTTGAAGGCCCGGACCGAGGTCTTCACCCCGAAGGAGGGGATGGAGAGGAAGGTCCTGAGGGAGGAGGCGGGCTTGGACGCGAGGGCGTAGGCTCTGATCAGGGTGATGAAGAGCTGCTCGCCGCAGCGGAGCTGGGATTGCTTGAGGGAGGAGAGGAGGGAGGGGACTCGGTGGAGGATGGTTGGCGCGCGCAGAAGACGAGGCGGCTCGAAACGAGGGAGTGGTAGGTTGCGTGTTGTGGGCGGAAGTCCCGGGGTGAACCTGGGCGGGTGGTGGAAGCGGAGACGGCGAGGTTAACAAGGTCGGGTGGAATGGCGGATGAGGCGGGCGATCTTGTTTGGCGGTTGGAGAAGCGGGGCCAAAGGCTGACTGGGGGAGAGCATCGTGTAGCCTCGACCGAGGAGGGAGGACTTTGCAGTCGGCGGAGATTTTCAGGTGGGGCCTCACCGTCGATGATTGGCATGGTCAGGCTGGGCGCAGGTCCACCACGTGGACAAAAGCGCTGCGCGGCGAGAGGGCCCGGGTGGGCTGCAGCGGCGGCATCTCTGCTCTGCTCCCTTTTTTTTTCCTTTTTTTTTCTCAGACGCAATACGAGGCAGGGTGAAGTTTGGGGAAAAATTTAAAAAATAGACCTATTTTGTTAAATATTTAGAAAAACATACAGTTTTGCTAAATATTTAGCAAAATCGACATCTTTTTGGCCAGTTAGCCGAAAAAGATCGATTTTGCTAAACTGATCATTCGAAACATACGGGACTAGTAGTCCCATATGATTTAATTAAAAGATCAAAAAATTCGATATAGTACCAATTAGAAACAAAAATAAATAGGTCTGTTACAAGATTAATTCGGATTGGCTCTCCGGCAGCACAGCCGAGACAGCGATGTGTTCTCCCTCCGGCTTATCACCGGCAGTCTGTTCAGGGTTCCACACTCAATGGTGGCAACTAAACACGAGGGTTGCACTCGTTGCGGTCTTCCACCCTGCCCCGAAGAGTAACTAAGACCATTAGTTAGACCTCATACAATAACTATCCTAGTTCCATTAAATCATACGCGACTACTCCCGTATGTTTCGAATGGTCTGTTTTGTAAAATCGATCTCTTTTTGGCCTGTTGGCCAAAAATATGTCTATTTTGCTAAATATTTAGCAAAGCGGTCTGTTTTGCTAAATATTTAGCAAAATAGGTCTATTTTGCGAATTTCTTCGAAGTTTGGGGTTGAATAAAGAAGTTCATGTCCTGCTTCAGGGGTGACGGACCGAAACTTTCGGGGGGTTTTCTGGAAGTTACCCGACTCCCCTCACGGCCATCGTTTTCAAAAAGTGGGGCCCCTCTCCGCACCTCTTCTCTTCCCCCCTCCACCCCTCGAATATCTTCCCCCAATCTCCCTCTCTCGTGATGATGATGATGATGATGATGACGCCTCTTTCTCTCTCCTCGGCCCCCCGTCTCTTTCTCTCTCCTCTCGGTCCCGCCTTCCCGCCAAAAGGGCCCCGAACCCTAGCTCCCTCCCGTTTTCTCCGCCGGCCCCGTCGCCGATCGGTCCCGCCGCTCGCCGCCTCTGCCTCTTCTCGCCAAGTAAGGACGGTTGATTCAGACGCTATGTTCTCCTCTTTTGCTTCTCTTAATAAAGAGTAATAGATAATAAAAGTCTTTCCTTTTCTCTTCTCCTCTTGTTTTGAGTAGGAATCCAAGTACTTGGAATGGGACTCGATGACCGCGAAGTTCGCCGGAGCTTCAAACCTACCTTTTCTGCTAATTCAGCTCCCTCAGATCCTGCTCAATTATCAGAACCTCGTTGCCGGAGATAAAGCTGCGCTCTTTGCAGTCCCCTGGCTTGTGAGATTATGAACCTAATGCTCCTTCCTTTTTTTGTGTTTGATAAATTATCTATCATAATGCAGATTTGATTGACTTGACTTTGGAACGCAATGCGTACATTATGCCCTTTGGAATTCGATTGCGCTGCCTTTTTTTTTTTTTGGTTAATGAAGAGGTGCAAAGTCCTCATTTTGAAAGAGTAAAGCATTGGTATTATTAGAATTCAAAAACTTTTAATTGTATCCAAGCAAATACATAAAGGCGAAATAAAAGTTAATCCGTTGGTTATGGCCCATGTATTTAGAGACATACTTATGTCCTTGCAGCTGCATCAATGCTCAACACTATGATGAGTGTCAGCCCACCTTTTTTGACCAAAAGAGACCGGTGGCCGAATTCGGTGCCGAAAGATTTGAAAAAGAAAAAAAATGTAGATTCCATAATAAATTATTATTAAGTGACGGGTCCCACTAATAATATTTTATTTATGCATAGTGTTTCCCAAACACTATAAATGGGGACTAAACTCTTCAAAAAAATTCATCCCAGAAACAACTCCTCTCATAGAAGAGTAAGAGAGAAAACCTAGAGAGAGTTTGTGAGAGTTCTTGGAGTGTATCTTGATCAAGAGAGAGTGTTCTCTTTGATCCAATTCGTGAGAGTTCTTGGAGTGTATCTTGATCAAGAGAGAGTGTTCTCTTTGATCCAATTCTTTTGGAATATAAAAGAACTGGGCGTCGTCGTTGCACGTGTTCTCTTTGATCCAATTCTTTTGGAATATAAAAGAACTGGGCGTCGTCGTTGCACCGTGGAGTAGCTGCGAATGAGTGAATCACGTATATTTGTGAGTACTGTGATTGATTTTGTGCCTTTATCCTATGTATTGCGTCTCCGTTCGAGGCATTCTTATTGGTGTGTATCTTAACAACTGGTACCAGAGCCTGATTTAGAGTATATATATTTGCTTATCGTATGCTCTGTGGCTGCCATGTGGCTGCCACTAAAAGTGGATCCTCCACATCAGAAAATAAGTTAGATTATTATTTACTCTTTTAAGACAATATGCACTATTCACGAATACGATACTATTCATCAGTACGATACTATTTATAAGTACTGTTACTATTCACATATACGGTTCGGGAAAGATGTTATCTTTCACCATGAGATCTACAGTTGAAGACAACATGCTTCGAATTGACAAATTCGGCGGCCAAAATTTCTGGTATTGGAGGATGCAAATAAAAGACTATTTATACCAGAATGATCTTTTCCTACCCCTCCAATGAGAGGCGGGGAAACTTGAGAAAATGAACGACGATAAGTGGAAGGTGCTCGATCGTAGAGCACTTGCCACCATCAGGCTCAATTTTCACCAGCATGTGACTTACAACGTCTCGCATGCGAGCACCACTAAGGAGTTGATGGAGGCCGTGGAAGCGCTGTATGAGAAACCATCTGCTTCAAATAAGGTGTACCTGATGAAGAAGCTGTTCAATCTAAAGATGCAGCAATGAGCTCGTGTGGCAGATTTCTTGAATGAATTTCAGGTTGTGGTGCAACAACTTGCTGCAGTAAATCTCAAGTTCAACAATAAGATCCAAGCTCTTCTGCTACTTTCTTGTTTACCGGATTCATGAGAGAATATGGTGATGGCAGTGAGCAACGCTAATGGTAATGACAAGATAAAGCTAGACATGATGATTGGGGTAATTCTGGATAAAAAATCTCACCGCAAAATCTCAGGAGCTGATGCCTCTAGCAGTGGGAGTGATCTGCATGTCGAGGCACAAGAGCGTGTGCAGAAGAAGGGTAGGGGACAACGAGGCCAATCAAAATCCAGAGGGAAGTCTAAAAGGCCAAACCCGAATGGTTACAGTGAAGGAAAGTGCTTTAGATGCAGAAATAATGATCACTTTGCATAGGATTGCAGAGTTTTTGTTCCAGCATCAGCAGGGGATGATCGGGCTGACGGTGCAGCTAATCTCATGCACGAGATGGATTCGAATGTGCTTCTCCTATCACTAGAAGACAAAAGTGATGCGTGAGTCATCGACTCTAACGTATCTTTCCATGTAACCTCACAACAAAAGCTGCTTTCATCTTTCGTGAAGAATGACTTGGGAACAGTCTATCTTGGCGACGATCAACCTTACAAGGTTTCTGGGAAGGAAAATTGTACCCTCAAGATGGAGGGCGGGACCACCTTGAAGCTGAACGACGTTCGGCATGTACCGGATCTCAGGCGAAATCTTATATCAGCCGGGTAACTGACTGATTCCGGTTACAGAATATCCTTCGAGCAGAGAAGTTGAAAGGTGTCCAAACGTTTCCTGGTGGTGGCACGCGGCAAACGCGAGGGGTCTCTCTACATCGCTAATGGGAAGATCGACCGCTTACTTGCCGCAGGACAAGCACCATCATCATCATCCGTCGACTGCATGACATGGCATTGACGACTTGGCCACATGAACGAGAAAGGGATGCAGATTATGGCCGCAAGAGAGAGGCTTCCGGGTCTGAGCAAGATCGATCTGACTTTCTATGAGGACTATATTCTAGGCAAACAAAAGAAGGTGAGCTTCAACAAGATCGGATCGGCTCTAAAACTGCAGAACTTAAAGTTGGTGCACACCGATGTGTGGGGACCTGCGCAAGTCCCATATGTTGGCAACTCTCTTTACTTTATCACTTTTATTGATGATGCTACTAGAAAACTGTGGGTGTTCTTCTTAAAACACAAGTCAGATGTTTTTATCATTTTTAAGAAGTGTTTTGCCTGTATAGAGAACGAAACAGGTAATAAGCTGAAGTACCTAAAGTCTGATAATGGAGGCGGGTATTGCAGCAGGAGTTCGAGAACTTCTGCTCGTCCCATGGGATTAGGAGACTAAAGACCGTCCCAGGCAGACCTCAGCACAACAGAGTGGCGGAACGTATGAATCGCACTATCTTGGAACGCGTCAGAAGTATAAGGATCCACTCCGAATTGCCTAAGAGTTTTTGGGCCGAAGCTGTCAATACTGTTGTATATTTGATTAACTGCGGGCCATCCGCAGCTCTCAGTTATGGGATACCTGAGGAGGCTTGGACCGGAAAGAAGCAGAAGCTAGAGCACTTACGAGTATTTGGTTGTGACGCCTATGTCATGACCAATCCTGCAGACCGGTCAAAGCTTGATCCAAAGTCAAAGAAGCTTTCTTTCATCGGCTATGGAGAAGATGAGTATGAGTACCGTTTCTGGGATCACGATGCGCGTAAGTTGGTGCGCAGTCGTGACGTCGTGTTCCATAAGAATACAGTGTACAAGACCAAAGAGGTGAGTGGGAGTCAGCTATCTCCCTCTATTTTTTCAGATATTGCTGACAGTGAGGACGGCGATGAGATACCAATTAGCATAAAAGACGAAGACCAATAGAACGTGCCGGATGCATAGCAGCAGGATCCAACAGAACTACCGATCGTAATTCGCAAAGCTCCAAGAAATCCGAGGGTGCCAGAGAGGTACCTTTCCATAATGAATTATCTTTTCCTGACTGACAATGGTGAGCCAGAGAGGTATGAGGAGGTACAACAGACCGACAAAGCTCAGGACGAGTGGGAGTCTGTCATGGAGGAAGAAATAAAATCATTGATGAAGAATGGGACTTGGGAGCTCGTAAAGCTTCCAAGAGGACGAAAGGCTCTTCACAATCGGTGAATTTATCGGGTCAAGGATGAAGCCGATGGACGGAGACGCTACAAGGCGATGCTTGTAGTGAAGGACTATGAGCAGAAAGCAGGGATAAACTATTCTGATGTTTTCGCTCCCGTCGTCAAGTTGACCACGATCTGGACTGTGCTGAGCATTGTGGCAGTTCGAGATCTCCATCTAGAGCAGATGGATGTGAAGACGACATTCCTTCTGGGATGAATTTTTTTGAAGAGTTTAGAGAATCACGTATATTTAGAGACATACTTATGTCCTTGCAGCTGCATCAATGCTCAACACTATGATGAGTGTCAGCCCACCTTTTTTGACCAAAAGAAACCGGTGACCGAATTCGGTGCCGAAAGATTTGAAAAAGAAAAAAAGATGTAGATTCCATAATAAATTATTATTAAGTGACAGGTCACACTAATAATATTTTATTTATGCATAGTGTTTCCCAAACACTACAAATGGGGACTAAACTCTTCAAAAGAATTCATCCCAGAAACAACTCCTCTCATAGAAGAGTAAGAGAGAAAACCTAGAGAGCGTTTGTGAGAGTTCTTGGAGTGTATCTTGATCAAGAGAGAGTATTCTCTTTGATCCAATTCTTTTGGAATATAAAAGAACTGGGCGTCGTCGTTGCACCGTGGAGTAGTTGCGAATGAGTGAATCACGTATATTTGTGAGTACTGGGATTGATTTTGTGCCTTTATCCTGTATATTGCGTCTCCGTTCGAGGCATTCTTATTGGTGTATATCTTAACAACTGGTATCAGAGCCTGATTTAGAGTATATATATCTGCTTATCGTATGCTCTGTGGCTGTCACTAAAAGTGGATCCTTCACATAAGAAAATAAGTTAGATTATTATTTACTCTTTTAAGACAATGTGCACTATTCACGAATACGATACTATTCACCAGTACGGTACTATTTATAAGTACTGTTACTATTCACAAATACGGTTCGGGAAAGATGTTATCTTTCACCATGAGATCTACAGTTGAAGACAACATGATTCGAATTGACAAATTCGGTGGCCAAAATTTCTGGTATTGGAGGATGCAAATAGAAGACTATTTATACCAGAATGATCTTTTCCTACCCCTCCAATGAGAGGCGGGGAAACTTGAGAAAATGGACGACGATAAGTGGAAGGTGCTCGATCGTAGAGCACTTGCCACCATCAGGCTCAATCTTCACCAGCATGTGACTTACAACGTCTCGCATGCGAGCACCACTAAGGAGTTGATGGAGGTCGTGGAGGCGCTGTATGAGAAGCCATCTGCTTCAAATAAGGTGTACCTGATGAAAAAGCTGTTCAATTTAAAGATGCAGCAAGGAGCTCGCGTGGCGGATTTCTTAAATGAATTTCAGGTTGTGGTGCAACAGCTTGCTGCAGTAGATCTCAAGTTTAACAATGAGATCCAAGCTCTTCTGCTACTTTCTTGTTTACCGGATTCATGAGAGAATATGGTGATGGCAGTGAGCAGAGATCCAAGCTCTTCTGCTACTTTCTTGTTTACCGGATTCATGAGAGAATATGGTGATGGCAGTGAGCAACGCTAATGGTAATGACAAGATAAAGCTGTTTACCGGATTCATGAGAGAATATGGTGATGGCAGTGAGCAACGCTAATGGTAATGACAAGATAAAGCTCGACATGATGATTGGGGTAATTCTGGATAAAGAATCTCACCGCAAAGTCTCAGGAGCTGAGGCCTCTAGCAGTGGGAGTGCTCTGCATGTCAAGACAGAAGGGCGTGCGCAGAAGAAGGGTAGGAGACAACGAGGCCAATTAAAATCCAGAGAGAAATCTAAAGGGCCAAACCCGAATGGTTACGGTGAAGAGAAGTGCTTCAGATACGGAAAGAAGGGTTACTTTGCACAGGACTGCAGAGTTTCTGTTCCAGCATCAGCAGGAGATGATCGGGCTGACAGTGCAGCCAATCTCATGCACGAGACGGATTCAGATGCGCTTCTCCTATCCCTAGAAGACAAAAACGATGCGTGGGTCATCGACTCTGGCGCATCTTTTCATGCAATCTCACAACAAAAACTGCTTTCATCGTTCGTGAAGGACTTGGGGATAGTCTATCTTGGCGACGATCAACCTTGTAAGGTTTCTGGGAAGGGAAATTGTACCCTCAAGATGGAAGACGGGACCACCTTGACGCTGAACGACGTTCGACATGTACCGGATCTCAGGCAAAATTTTATATCAGTCAGACAACTGACTGACTCCGGTTACAGAGTATCCTTCGAGCAGAGAAGTTAGAAGGTGTCCAAGGGTTTTCTGGTGGTGGCACGCGGCAATCGCGAGGGGTCTCTCTACATCGTCAATGGGAAGATCGACCGTTTGCTTGTCGCAGGACAAACATCATCATCATCATCCGTCGACTGCATGACATGATATCGACGACTTGACCACATGAACGAGAAGGGGATGCGGATTATGGCCGCGGGAGAGAGGCTTCCGGGTCTAAGCAAGATTGATCTGACTTTCTATGAGGACTGCATCCTAGGCAAACAAAAGAAGATGAGCTTCAACAAGACCGGACCGGCTCTAAAACTATAGAAATTAAAGTTGGTGCACACCGACGTGTGGGGACCTGCGCAAGTTCTATATGTTGGCAACTCTCTTTACTTTGTCACTTTTATTGATGATGCTACTAGAAAATTATGAGTGTTCTTCTTAAAGTACAAGTCAGATGTTTTTATCATTTTCAAGAAGTGACTTGCCTGTGTGGAGAACGAAACAGGCAATAAACTGAAGTGTCTAAAGTCTGATAATGGAGACGAGTATTGCAACCAGGAGTTCGAGAACTTCTGCTCGTCCCATGGGATTAGGAGATTAAAGATCGTTTCAGGCAGACCTCAGCACAACGGAGTGGCGGAGCGTATGAATCACACTATCTTGGAGCGCGTCAGAAGTTTGAGGATCCACTCCGGATTGCCCAAGAATTTTTAGGCCGAAGTTGTCAATACTGCTGCATACTTGATCAACCGCGGGTCATCTGCGGCTCTCAGTTATGGGATACCTGAGGAGGCTTTGACCAAAAAGAAGCTGAAGCTAGAGCACTTACGGTATTTGGTTGTGATGCCTATGTCATGACCAGTCCTACAGACCGATCAAAGCTTGATCCAAAGTCAAAGAAGCTCTCTTTCATCGGCTATGGAGTAGATGAATATGGGTATCGTTTCTGGGATCACGATGCGCATAAGGTAGTGCGTAGTCGTGACGTCGTGTTCCATGAGAATACGGTGTACAAGACCAAAGAGATGAGTGGAAGTCAGTTATCTCCCTCTCTTTTCTCAGATATTACTGACAGTGAGGACGGTGGTGAGATACCAATTAGCATAGAAGACGGAGACCAAGAGAACGTGTCGGATGAACAGCAACAGGATTCAACAGAGCTGCCGATCGCAATTCGCAAAGCTCTAAGAAATCCAAGGGTGCCAGAGGTACATTTCCACCATGAATTATCTTCTCCTGACTGACAATAGTGAGCCAGAGAGCTATGAGGAGGTACAGCAGACCGACAAAGCTAGGGGCGAGTGGGAGTCTATCATGGAGGAAGAAATAAAATCATTGATGAAGAATGGGACTTGGGAGCTCGTAAAGCTTCCAAGAGGACGAAAGGCTCTTCACAATCGGTGAATTTACCAGGTCAAGGATGAAGCCGATGGACGGAGACACTACAAGGCAAGGCTTGTAGTGAAGGGATATGAGCAGAAAGCAGAGATAAACTATTCTGACGTTTTCGCTCCCGTCGTCAAGTTGACCACGATCTGGACTGTGCTGAGCATTGTGGCAGTTCGAGATCTCCATCTAGAGCAGATGGATGTGAAGACGACATTCCTTCTGGGATGATTTTTTTTGAAGAGTTTAGACCCTATTTATAGTGTTTGGGAAATATTATATACAAATAAAATATTATTAGTGAGACCCGTCACTTAATAATAATTTATTGTGGGACCCACATAATTTTTTCTTTTTCATATATTTCGACACCGAATTCAGACACCGATTTTTTTGGTCAAAAAAGGTGGGTTGACAATCTCTCACTTGAAGATTTGATTGAGTATCAATCATACATTCACATCATTCTTAGTTGCATCATCTAGATGTCTTGTATCTTTAGTGTCTTGTACGGTCTTCAACATTCTCAACGGAGGCCATATGAGGCTGCACACAGTCTTACCTTCTCGAGCGGAACTGGCTTGATCAGCATATCGGCTGGATTGTACCTCGTATCAATCTTCACAAGATTGAACTCGTTCCTGGATATTATCGGCCGAGTTATCGGATTTGGGAGCTCTCCGATAGGATAACTTGGATTTTTAATCGGTTATCGTTTTTGGCAAGTTATCGGGGAGTTATCGGCGTTATCGGTACTTATCGGCCGATAAGTAAGGTTTTTTTATTGGGATTATCGGTCGATAAGTAAGGCTATGCAATCGAATGGTTTCATCGTGCGGTTAAGATGCAAGTTTTACTTTCTACAATTGGTTAGTGATTCTAAACATGATGATTTACATTTTGGTATGTTTATATTTCATTAAGCATGGTTAGATTACATTTTTTAGTTATTATATTATATATATACACCATCTAGTATATCACTCCGATAAATACTACTTATCCCCGATATATCCCCGATTTCTGCTATCCGATAAGAATTTTGGTCGTCCGATAAATTCCCGATAACCGATATTTAAAACCTTGGTTCCTGCTTTGCCATCTCCGTATGGCATGATGCTTCACGTCAACATGCTTGGTCCGAGAATGGAATGCGTCATTCTCAGACAAGTGAATAACACTCTGACTGTCGCAGTGGATGAAATATTTCTCAAAGCTTACCCCAAGCTCGAGAAGAAAAGCTTTCAACCATAGCAACTCCTTTGCTGCCTCTGCTGCAGACACGTACTCCGTTTCGGTTGTCGAGAAGCATTCCATTCTCGGACCAAGCATGTTGACGTGAAGCACCATGCCATACGGAGATGGCAAAGTAGGAACGAGTTCAAGCTTGTGAAGATTGATACGATGTACAATCCAACCGATATGCTGACCAAGCCAATTCCGCTCGAGAATGTGAGGCTGTGTGCAGCCTCATATTGCCTCCGTTGAGAATGTTGAATGCCGTTTAAGATGCTAAAAATACAAGATATCCGGATAATGCAACCAAGAATAGTGTGAATGTATGATTGATACTCAATCAAATCTTCAAGTGGGAGATTGTCAGCCCACCTTTTTTGACCAAAAGAGATCGGTGGCCGAATTCGGTGCCGAAAGATTTGAAGAAGAAAAAAAGATGCGAGTCCCACAATAAATTCTTATTAAGTGGCGGGTCCCACTAATAATATTTTATTTGTGCATAGTGTTTCCCAAACACTATAAATAAAACCTAAACTCTTCAAGAAAATTCATCCCAGAAACAACTCCTCTCGTAGAAGAGTAAGAGAGAAAACATAGAGAGAGTTTGTGAGAGTTCTTGGAGTGTATGTTGATCAAGAGAGTGAGTGTTCTCTTTGATCCAATTCTTTTGGAATATAAAAGAATTGGACGTCGTCGTTGCACTGTGGAGTAGCTCCGAAGGAGTGAACCACGTATATCTGTGAATACTATGATTGATTTTATGCCTTTATTCTGTGTATTTCGTCTCCGTTCGAGGCATTCTTATTGGTGTGTATCTTAACAATGAGGGTTTATGTTGTTCCCTTCGGTAAACCGAAATCTAAAGCTATGTGTGAAGAGAGTAAGAGACAAGTCCTTGTCCTCTTAACATCGTGTAGATATACCTCCTTTTTCTTGTTGCAACGAGTCTCATTTTTCAGATTTAACCAAATTAAGATGTGCATCAGGCTAGATTAAATCCTAATGTTCTCAGGTTTCATGCCATCTACTTTAACTTAAAGAGCGTCTTCTCCATGATCAGATTCTGTGTTCTTAATTGTCCTAACAAATGGTTGTGCCCCGGACTAAAGGCGATTTTATCTTGCGCAACTCTTTTTATATTTCATTTAACACATGAATGGAAGGACATCCCATTTTAATGAGTAACATGAATCCTGAAGTTTGACAGGGAATGCTGACAGGCCTCCTTGGAAACCTGACACTGCTCTCCTACTTTGTCAAGAAGAAAGAAAAAGAGGCAATTCTTGTTCAGACTTTGGGCGTCGTTTCAATCTATGTTGTCATAGCACAGCTTGCTTTGGCTGGCTCCATGCCCCTTCCTCACTACATTGCGACATCGGTAGTTGTGGCCTTGGGGTTAGTCTTGAACTTCCTGAATTATTTCCGATGGCTTCATAACGGGATTTGGCAGCTTTGGGAGGATTTTATAACCATAGGAGGGCTCTCAGTTCTACCACAGGTGAACATATGCTGTCTGGTTATAATTACTGCAGTGATGGTGATGAAGCTTATCAGCTAGGTTATTGCTGTCTCAGGTCATGTGGTCGACATTTGTCCCTTTCATTCCTAGCAGCATTTTACCGGGCACTGTTTCTTGTGTTATAGCCACTGCTGCGGTTATTCTGGTATGCTTTTTTGAATTTATTTGGCTTCATTGTATTGCACATTACTCTATGAGCTGGAACTGTCAAGAGTATTGTAGGATTACAAATAATGTAGGATTCCTAACCTGTCAATAGACCTTTAAGGTTTAACTTTTAGCTACTGTCCATCCTGTGCTTGAAACTTTGTACCAAGCTGGAGGCTTGATCTGTGCATTAGCAATAAATTGAAAGCCAGTGGTTGAGGTTATCTAAGTTCACTAGCAATGAAGTCTTTCCATCTCTAGAGGAGCTCGTCTGTGCTCAATTGAGCATATATTTTTCATACAGTTGTATGGTTTCCTTCTTAAAGTTTTATTTTACGGGTAATCCATGATGCTAAAGTACCTGTGTCGTGCAGGCACGGACTGGAAAACTTTCAGAAAAAGGAAAGAACTTCGTCGGGTCACTATCCGGATGGACTGCTACTCTACTGTTCATGTGGATGCCCATTGCTCAGATGGTATGTATATTTCTTTTTCTTTCCCATTGAAGGTGTAAACCATTTGCATTAACGGGGACACTCATCTGATGTCTTTTTTATCATGTATAGTGGACAAACTATCTCAACCCGGATAACATCAAAGGGTTATCAGCTTTGACACTGTTGCTTGGTATGATTGGCAATGCGCTTATGATCCCACGTGCTTTGTTCATCCGCGATCTGATGTGGTATTAATCTTCTCGACCCTTTTCTCCTTATCTCTTTGTTCACAATACATACCTTGTATCAGATGTCAAAGATACAACGCTACCACCACCTATATATACATCAGGCCTGAAATGTTTGATTTTGACATTTTACTAGGTGCTTTCTATAATCTATGCTTTCCGGATCATGTTGCCTATAATTTTCGGACTTGTGCAATAGTTTAAAAGGGTTAGTTACACAAAAGGTTCGTACTAACTTATAATTTGATTCTGGAAGGTTCACTGGTGCCTCTTGGGCATCCGTTTTGCATGGATGGGGAAACTTGCTATGCATGTACTGGTAAGATTGGTTTGTTTTCAAGCATGTTTTTGTAAAATTTTGGTTAATTTCCCTTGAGAATGATTATTTCTGACCTTTGTACTGTTCTTCAGTTTTAACAGTATCAGCAGATATTTCTTCTTTGGAGCAACAACTGGTTTGATTTTATGGCTAGGTATTTCTTTTATTTTCCATACAGTAACATGATAGCCCTGGATAGAACACTATACCCATTCAATTATCCTATCAATCTAATTTATCATACATGTACTTCTATCTTAGGATGTGTATTTTTCCAGAACAAACTATTGTTTCATTTGCTATAAGTTCATACCAAAGTGAGACTGCCAAAGAATTCTGTCCTCTTTGGATACAGCCGAACTATTACATTTCAAAGAAAAGGACTCTCTAAATGCTCAAATTTTTGACCTAGTAAGTAGTGAACTTTTGTAGTTCTCAAGAAAAGACTTTTGAAAACAAATGTATGAACACGGGTGCAACACGATAAGATGAGATATACCTCCCAATCTTGATGTCCCAACATTGACGGCTTAAAACTGAAATGTACCTATCATGACTTGATTGTTAGATGTTATGCTGAAAAAGAAAAATGAAGTCTGATCTAATGATGTATATTTATTTCCATCAGGAATGGCATTGCGGCAAGATATGGTTGTATATGGGTACGGTTCACCAGTGAGATCTCTGAAGGAGTTAATGGTCGGAGAATGAAGCACATCAGTGCTATGTGAAATGAAGTTTTCATCCACGGAATTTGCCAAATGAAAATAGAGATACCAGGTATTGTTTTTTGGTTCTGATAGGCGCGTATTGTATCTGTATATTGATTATAATTCCAGGTTAGCTGTGTATAGATGACCATATACCATTCATGTTATTGTTTTCTTCACCAATATTTGGTCGTATATTTTCCACAATGTGGATTGTATCAATATGTGTAAGTGTAACCCAGCCATTCAATTGAAGTTTAACTTAGTTATCAATATCTAGTATTGTCACTTCTCATGTTTGCTTGAGATTGATGTTAAGATATTCCTCTCGTTATTAGAAGTTATAATTGTTTATATGCCGCTAGAATCCTGTTATTAAGATTCCAACTCATGCAATTCAGATGATTGTATAACAATATGCAATTGAATGTACCATACCACTTGAAACTATACCTGTTATTCTGTTTGAGAAATGCAGTAAGTAGTAACAGACACCCTATCCCTGTCGCGGACTCGCAGTGGAACTAATCCTTTTTTTTTTAATGAAAAAACAGAACATAATCTTCATTTTGTCAATTTAGCTTAAGGTGATATATTAGCAAGCGATGTGAGGTAAAAGTGTAAAAGCATTTTGCTTTTGATGGTAGAGTAAATTCATGGTTCTCTCTCCTTTTTTTTTCCCCTTTCTTTTTGGTTTTTAATGGAAAAATGGAATATAATCTTCATTTTTAAAGAAAGAAACGGATGAATGTTTATATTCTTATGAAATATGTAACTGCTGATGCTAAGGAACACTTAATCAGAGAGATCTGTAGAAGACAGCATCAACTATATATATCCTTATATTTATTGATTTAAAAAAAACTGTGCTCGTAAGGATCTCAAGTAGCTGGAGAGCGATGGATGTCTTACGAGAACAAGGATCAAGATGAACCTTTACAGAGAAGCACATTACGCAAAGCAAGATGGCAAAACTAAATAATAAAAAAGAACACGTAATATGGTTTTAGTCGGCAATGAAAATCACAGGAACAAGATTCAAACACAGAAAAACCAAATAAGCAACACATAATCCTCATGCATATAACAAAAATTTAGGTACATGTTTCCTATTTGTACTGAAATCTATAGTATTCTATTCAACATGCTATGTAAGAAATTGAATGAAAAGATTTATAGTCATACAAACTAGCATCAGGGAACGAAACCAGTCACTTGAGCTCCTCTTTCAGCAGCTCATCAATGGCAGCCTCATTGATCTTTGAGGACACCTGCTTCACCCACGTGGCCATTTTCTCCGCCTCCTCGTTCGCCTTCTCTTGATCCTTCCACGCCTTCTTCAGCTTCCTCCGACGCTCCTTCAGCTTACGGCTCCCAAACTCCTTCATAATCTCATCATCATCATCATCATCACCATCAATCTTGCTTCCCCTTCTCTGGATCCTCTTCGGAGGGAAAACAAAACAGCAGCTTTTCCTTGGTGGTGAAGGTGATCCTCCCGATCTTTGCTTCTCCTCCCTGATATCAGGCTTCACCGGTCGCTGATCGGGTTTCGGATCTTGCCACGGAATCGGGCTGCTCTCGCTCCGATTCAAGCTTCCGGGTACGTTTTCTTTCTCTTCATTGGTCCATTCATGCTTAGCAGCAGGAAAGGATTTGAGCCTCTCGAATCGGGTGTCGAGATTGGAAGGGAGATGGGAGTCTGAGAGGTGAGCGGTGTTGAGCTCCGCGATCTGCTCGAGGGCGCAGAGGTCTGTTACTTCGGCAATGACGGCATCGATTGCGGAGTCATCGATCTCTGAAGAGGAGGAGAACGGGGAAGGCATTGAGACTATGGGAGGAGGAGGGAGAAGAGGGGAGCCGGAGAGGTGAGCAGTGTTGAGGGCTGCAATTTGCTCGAGGGTGCAGAGGTCTGTGGCTTCGGCGATGAGGGCGTCGATTTCTGAAGAGGGAGAGAGAGAGAAGGGTGAGAAATGTGTTTTGAGCTGCTGAGAAGGGTGAGAATCTGGATGGCACTTTCCTTTTGACCGTTGGAACAATTTGCAGAAAACCCCCCCTCCTTTAGTGGCCTATTAGCAAGAGAGCAGTACCATCTTGAGTGCTTTCCTCTCAATTAACATTGTAATTTCTTGACGTTTAGACAAATTTTGATGCTGTGCTTTTATTAGCAAGCATCATCTTCAAAGAACCATTAGAACAAAAATGTCGATATCTTTGGTGGTGCGGTTACTTTAGAATTTGTCTTTTGACCGTCTCCTCCGCCTATCCAAATCCAAAAGTTTTAAGAGCGTCATAGCTTAGTCTCTTTAGGAGTGCAATAGTCCAATACCACTTTGACTGTAAGAATTCAGGCGTGTGAAATTCTTCTTTGTAAGCGTCTAGTTTCTACTCTTGAGAAATACTCAAATCATTAGTGCTAAAATAGTATATTACTTATGAATAAATTATATTACATAGGTTTAATGAGCTATTTATTTGGTGTATTCCCTGCAAAGTCTTCTTGCATTGCCAATAGCAGAATCAGATGGTAATTATTTTGTTTAATTATTCCTTTTATTGGTGACGGGAATAAGGGCCCGTTTGGTTGATGTTTTTGGTCTCGGGTGTTGGGC